TTCCGCCCGTCTATATTCAAAACAATATTGCCTGGACAAGTGAAGGAAGCGATTTCTACCAAATCTCTCCCGTTGATGGTGACTGGTGCTGTTGGTTGGTCGGTCGGTTATCTTCATCACTTCCGTCCTCTCTGCGTTAACCTGAAGTCCTGTCTTCGCTGCCAGCCTCTTCAGCCAGTTTGTTGCTTTTCGTCTGCCTGCAAGTCTCCGAGTTTTTGTGACATTAGACATAAGTCTAGAGTCTTCTTATCAGTAGTCCAGCGTATTACCGTCTCCTCGCTCCTAATGCGAAGTCTGACTTATAACCCAGTCTACCACAATTAAAAATATCGTCGTTGATAATAGGCAGGCAGTTTGTCTTCCTTCTGTCTTCACTTCGAACGCCTCATTGAGTTCCCTGTTGTGGATCACCTGACACGTGGCATTATTATATAGCTGTTGAATAAGGTCGATAAAGACTTGAGGCACTGCATGGCGTAATGTTGAAGTAGTTTCTAAATTACTTCTCGGTCAACGCTGTCAAAGGCCTTCTTGAAGTCGATGAAGTTGAGGTAGGATGTTTGACTTCCATTCTATGCTTTCCATATTAATTTGTTTTCAGTTTCGAAGTTGTGTGATTATAACTGATACGATTATGAACAGTAAATTGTGTTTGAAACATCATCCAGTAAATAATACTGTTCCACTGTGTTACATATCTAATAAACAAATTAATACGGAATTACATACTACCACAGTGCCCAAGTTTTACACGTATATTAACATTCTATGCTTTGTTCGATTACAATGTGTAGAGTTGGAATTCGATTAGTACATGATTTGCCTTTCTATAATTTAATTTATTTGAAATCATTTAGGAATAAGAGTAAATTTATCAGATACTTTATTATAATCATTTTATTATTATAATTAATAACATTCTGTCTATTGTAGTGTACAAAATTTCACTCAAGTATTACACTCATGAATGAAGTACAGTAGGAAAATTTGCTCACGTCCTCATTTCCAAGAGCTATCTTGCTTAAATCACTAGGCTACCTAAATTTCCAACTAACAGTATGTCTCTAATTCATATTGTTTTAATAAGTGAATTATATATTGAGTAGCAAAATGTACTCATGCACATTTTCATCTGACTTCTAAACTACCGGGGCATATTTCTTCGAGAAGAAAGAAAAGCATCATAAAGGAGTAGTCTATGCTTCGGAGTGAATAGAGCACTGCACCACATGATCAACTCAAGATCGCTATTTTACTTGAAGTTCTTGGATGGACAGAAAATATCATGCAGTAAATAACTCTGAGGATTCTGTACACTGTGTAAACATTTTGTCCAGAATAAAGCTATTTATTATTTAATTAATTAAATATTAAATTAAATCAATAGTACTAAGGAATTATGAGGTTGGGCTTCTAATTTTGTGGCTTTGTAATTCCTTTCAGTCGTCGAGATATACACTTAACTTCCATATGGATAAGTGATGCATTACAAGCAGGTGATTAACTGTCGTCGAAATCATTTCAGGGTTATTTTTAATTAACGACAGGCAACTTATTTTTCATTCATGTAACAGTTGAGTGGGGAGTGTAAGGATAAAATGAAATTAAAATGTAATCAATAGCTTGGTATATTAGCTCAGTAGGTAGGGTATCAGATAACTGATTTAAATCTTGCCTTAATCAGAATCTGCTCTCAAATTTCAGTTATCACTTATGTTGTATTAAAATCGTTAAGTTGGACCAAAGTTTATTTAAAATAGTCTCAACAGCTATTGCTTAAGCATCTAATAACCTGAATCACTGGCACGTAGCTTACTGTATGCTTTTGAACATTGCCTAACAATGTAATAAGATATATGTGAAGTTGAGTAATAATATCCGTATAACAATTTACTTGTCAAGCGTTGGTTTCCAGGGATTTGATTGGTAACAGGAATAATCACTAGCTGATATCAGTTAAAGAACCATTAGAAAAACTGGGAGTACTGGACAGCTGTTTCGTCATCAGTAGGTGATCAACCCCGTAGAAAATTTATCACTTTAGAAGGTTGACAGCAGTCGAGTACAATACTCACTTGCTAAGGCAATACAAACAATACACTGGCAATAAGATCCAGATTTGGAACATTGATTATGCAGATATCTGATTTACCTGCAAAGAAGAAGGATAATTCTTTGTACAATTGGTGGATGGTGGCTAGCAGTGGATTCCACTGCTAGCCACCATCCACCAATTGTATACTAATTAAATACCCAGACATCGTCGAAGCATCTGCACAAGAAGCCGACATGTCAACCTGAGACCGAGCACTTCGGTCCAATCAATCGACGGGAAAATCAAAAATTCAATTCAATAATTCTTTGTAGTTCAAGTACTCAACTAACAACCAGGAGGATTTAGGTAAAGATCTACTCACCATACCTGAGCCTTCATGAACAAGTGAATGATAAAATCAAATTCATTTTTAAATGAATCATAATTAGGTGAATAATAATGATAAAAATCACTGAGGTCTGATGGATGATGGGTAGCAGTAGAATTCAAAACATGCATTTCACCACATTTAGGACTTATCAGTGGTATGCAGCTGTATCCCAATAAGTGATCCTGTTCTCATTGAGAAATGCTGCTAACTACAGCTGTCAGGATGAAATAGACATTTACCAATTGCGTCAATGTATTATGTGCTGCATTTTAGTTTCTTGTGATGAACTTTTTAAACGCTGGTTATATAAATATCCGGTACTAATTAGGAGGGAATCTAGCATCAGACCTTACCAGAGGTAGTGATTTATTCACACTCATTTTCAATTAGATTATCAATACACATGAACATTTGGGCTACCGCTAATTGGTTGTGTATCTACCAACATAATCGGACTACGGCATTATGATATTCAGAACTAGTTTTGTTTTAAACCGTAAAATTCTATTGCTTTTAGTTTAGACTTAACTAAACACAAATAAATTAATAAACACATCCATTGAAGTTTCTCCTAACCAGAAATACAAATCAGCCAATTAATGCCATACGAACAACACAGTAGAACAGACAACAACGAACTCTGGCGGTGAATCAGCCCAAAACCTATTATCAAACAACAATACGCAGAGGGAAATGGAGACCACTTAGATATAAGGTGAGGATACTTTCAAGTGACACCATAAGCCAGGTCCTCAAGTGAAACCTTAGTGGAAAGGGACGGGTTGGATTTTGCACGGTGAAATAAAGGAGGTCATGGAAGGAGAGAATGGATACATGTAGAAATTCATGGAATCAGCTGGAAGTCATGTCAGAGAAAAGAATGCAATGGACAAATGCCTCCACTAGGAGCGCCTGAAATGAATAATAATAATAACAATACATTGATCACTCATTGAAAATTAACCAGTTTCATCTTATATAGTGTAGTCTGTAGTGTTGATGGAATTATACGATATTAAAGATTATTATCATTTAAGGGGATTTATTACAGTGATGCATTTTTAAATGAAGTGTTTTGAAGGTAGAAACTCTTGAATCGAAAACTCATAATTATAGGAATTTGTCTTCAAAGCATAACTGTAAAATCAAGAGAAATAATTCATTCTTCAGAGATTAAACGTAGCACCATTCAGTTATATGGGCTGAGATAACCTTACTAAGTTACCTGGGCTGCTACTGGTCTCCTTTGACGCGGTGACTACTTACACCTATTTGTTTCTAGAGGGGAACAAGTGATGTACTATCTATTTTAAACCGCTAACCGAATTCCTCAAATCAACATTTACACTTCAGTCAACAAGGAAGACTGGATACTATTAATCTGGACTACCTCCAAAAGCGTGATATCAAGCATCACTTACCCACCAGTTTAGAAAGTATCTGTGGTACACGAAATGCAGTCACACTTATCATAAGTGTGAGGTTATAATCCAGAAAATGATAAACCATATTTCAGAGAGGTTTTGATTGTTGTGCAAAGTGAGCGAGAGAACCACTGAAAAACAATCACCACATGATAACCGTTCTGTTCTGGTGTTTGGCTCACCTAATACTCCCCTATGATCAAGTCAAGAACATAAAACATGACTATTAGGTTACGAAGCCAGAAAGTCATTATTCATCTAACGGGAAACTCTTCTTCGTCTAATTTCCTCAGATTTTGACAACAGTCAACAAGGCGTTACTGGAAATTCAGAGAAAATATCCCATACTATGAGATTCGAATCCTCAGCACTTATTATGGAAGTCAATTACATCATTACTGAGGTAATCAAGTCACAAATAACTTCATTTTAGACTAGGCACCGTATACAAGATGATGGCACGATAAGTCCAGACTACTTACCAACCAGTACTTATATGTCAACGATTTCTGTCAAAATGAATCTTAAAGAAACAAAACTTCTCATCTGCTCAGAGTAATGATCTAGAACTCTCGTTTAGTTCAACGCTTGAAATAAAAGAGGTGGTTGCCATAACTCACCAATTTAATGTTACTGAATCGAAGGGTATTGGGTCTGAGTCTCAAGAAAGAAATCTGAATATATTAGGATGCAGATAGATATCTAGCTGTGTCATAAATACTGCGAAACGGTATTCACCTAACAGTCATTAACCAGTACTGATTAACTTGGTCTTTTTTTCTTTTCTTCATGTCTTCATAAATAAAAACAGAATGGTAACAAGAACTTGCGGATAAATTCAAGATTTGAACGTACGACATCCAATGCTACAGTCACAGACATCATTTCTTTCTAGGTTGCAGCTACATCTCACTGACGAGTACATATAAGCGGGACACCTAAGTCCACGATTTTCTGCCGATTGCCCCCAACAACCTAATATATATATATATATATATATATATCACTTTATAATTTGCTTGGAATAAGTTGTGATCCAAATCATTATTATTCCGATCACCTTAAGAATGAATTTCAAATGCATCATGATACTCGCTTTCTAAAAGGAACAAAAAAAATCTATAACAAGCATGATTTTCATTTCATTTACCTGATATATCACCCGGACGTTTTAGTTGTTTCATTGTAGATGTTGTCATATGAATGAGAGCGTCCAGTGCAGAATTTGAACTGAAATCCATAGGTGTTAATATATTACCTCTATGACTATCGTTACTACTATTACTCGTATTTGTTGTATTTTCATTATCACTGCTACTTATACTATTACTATTGATACTACTACTACTACTACTATTTACATTGACACGTGGAGCATTTCTACTCTGGACTGTATACGCCTCAGAATTACTTTTTATACCATCTGTTTCATTGAAATAATTTTTCATCCAATGATGTGATTTGTACGCATCAATCATCTTCTGTTGAGAATTTAAACACTGCATAGAATGCAGCCAAATTTTATAACTTTTCATGTCATCCAACTGAGAAGCATTTATGCTTGAATTTTCTAAATTTGAAATTTTCAAGAATTTTTCTTGATTAACAAAATCCTCTTGTCTAACGCCTTCGTTATCCTCTTTTCTTTGTCCAACTGTTTCCTTGATATAAATAACATTGCTGTTGCTCTGGCTGTTGTTATTATTGGCGCTATTGAAGACGGAATTTTGTGTTTGATTCAAATACTGTTCAAACAATCTACTCCAGTATAATTTTGACTGGTTTAAGTTACACAACTGATCATCCCTAGAGTTTTCGAAATTATCTTTATTCTCCAAATCATTTTTGTCACTATTTCTTAGGGAATTTTCTACAAAATACTTCCAAAACTCACTATATATCATTCTTAATGGGTTACTGTCAGTTGCATGAGTGTTTTCATTGTAATTTTGAGTGTGGTAAATATTCTGTAACAATGTTTGTCTGGCTGTTTCTGTTATTATTTCAGATCTTTCTTTTATTTTTTCTGAAAATGCACCTTGTGATAAATGTGTAACCAATGGTAACTGCAATTGATCTGCTAAGAATTGTTTAGTGTACGCTGATGAATTAGTAGTTAGAAAATTATACAAATAATTCCAGAAATGTGCATTATTACTGTTACCATCGATAAGTGAATTCACTGATGATTTGTCTTTGTCAAACTGAAAGCACTTCATAGTTTCACTGTCATTCTGTATTTCTGCTTGTTTCTGTTGTATATGTTCAAATGGTTCGATGTTTTCATTGTCTTTTGTTAAATGTTCAATATTGTCTTTTTTGTTTGGAGCTAAAATGTCTGTAATTAAAAATGTAGAAGATGAATTAACTTTATCTGTTGTTGTTGTTGTGGTTGTTGCTGCCATCGTCGTCGGTGTTAAACTTTCGGCTGTTGATGATAGCAAATACAAACTGTTCTCTAATTCCGAAATCTTAGGTGAAAAATTAGGCAAACAATCCATTTACAAATTATTATTATTATTATTATTATTATTATTATAACGTCAGTATTTTTCTACTTTACACAAAATTGCAATTGTTTAAGTTCCGAAAGGAAAATTATTTAAATACATTTAACTAATTGTTTGTTTGTATCCTACCGTTAGTGTAATTTTAATGAAGCGACTGATACGTTAAAAATAATTACGGAGTTATAAGTGATTGACCAATGAAATTTCAGTTAGTCAGCGGTATGTTCAACCATTGGCTAATTACTATTTTCTCGTAAACACGAAAAATGTTGTTTACAAACCTGACTATAAATCGTGTAACTGATAAATCTATTTAGTGGTAACACTTGTTCATTATTATCATTATTATTATTATTATTATTATCATTATTATTATTATCATTATTATTATTATTATTATCATTATTATTATTATTATTATTAGGGTATTAAGAATGAGGAAATAAACAGGTTTTGAAACATCATAAATAAAAGACTAATTAATGAACAAAGAATATTATTTTCAATAAATTTGTCACCAGGTTCTACATTCATATGACTGTAATAATTATTGATATTAACAAAATGAGTGTTTTAAATTACATTGAATCAGCCTAAATAGAGTAAGTTGATAGAATAAATAAACTATCCAACTGGAAATCCACCAAGTCTCGATAAATCTCAAAAAATGAAAATCCAATGTACTGCTCACTTGCGGCTAATACCCAAATAGATTTCCTAAAGTACTTATGAGCATTTCTGAACAATAGGTTCCAGTACATCCACTGTGAGGATAGTTACTTACTGGTGCAGTGATATTTCAGGGGTTTATACAAGTTGGAGATCATGTGTTTTTCGAATAACGAAGCCCAAGCTTCATAACTCAACAGTCATGCACTCACTTCATTCTTATTAGAGAATGGCTTTATATTAGGGCAGAAAATTTGTTGCGTACTCAGAAAAATCAATTAAAGTTTTACAGTGAAATATATTTATTTGAAAGAACATTAACTTTCTGTAAGTAAGAAGGTTTATTTCATAAGTAAATTTGCTTTTATTTTAACGATATTTATATTTGTAATTTCCATTCATATATCTGACAGCATTACTTAGCCTCATTTGTGTATGTGGACTACTTCTATGCCTCTATACAATCATGATTAAGAACTCAAAGTTACTTCTGTCAGTGGCATATAAAAATAAAATCTATGACGCTGGTTTCTTCTTGTTTGGGAGAAGAAGTGACTCTCATGGGCCAGTGGCCTTGTGGATAATGCTTTAGTCTATGAGGAAGTGAGTACTGGGTTTCAGCTTCAATGGGAACATCATCATTCACTGAAGAGGGAGTACATCCAGTTGAGGAGTCCTAAGTAGTCTGAAACATATCACTTATGCTACTAGCCACTACCAAATAGGTATATTCATTATTTCTGAATTATTTCTTCTAAACAGAAGTTAAAAAAGGCCACACCATCTCCCTCCCCTGAATGCATCTCCTGAATATATTTTACCTGCAGTTCACTTATTTAAAAGTTTTACACCTCACAATGGAAACAAGAGAAGTCTGACTGTGCCTCAAGAATTATTACACTAATCACTTTCCTCTTGTATCTATCATTCGTTGTTCTAGAAAACAAGTTTCTTTGTTTTCATTTTTGATGAACTTTATAGAGGAATTTAACTTTTTCGAGCTTACTGTTAAAATTCCTTGATAGTTAATTAGGTAATGTGTACTTCTGTCTGACACTGTACTATCAATAATTTTAAGAATCTGTTCAATGATTTTAAGAGTCTTCAATGTTTTGAAACAATTTTTCAACCTACTTCAGACAACTTTTCAACTTACTTCAAACACTCAACAATGCCCACCGAAACATCGACTTTACTCTTGAAGCCGAATCCGACGGAATGTTCCACTTCCTCGATGTCCATTTGACAAGAAACGCCGACAACTCTCTGAAAAGGTCCCGAGCATCTTCTCTATACGCAGCTGTCTCCTTGCATTTCATCTGGCAGAACTAGAAGTAGCAATAGGAGGCTATATGCTAGGACTACCAAATACAAAAACTCAACAATACCATATCTGGCACAGCTGTTATATGATGAGAAATTCGTTAGGTATGACACGATAAACTTACTGCTGCACTCTAACAAATAGTCCCTTCAGTTTTTGTTTTCCTTTCCTCGTTACTATTACGCTGTTGTTCTCATCTTCCATTCACACATCAACTTTATATTTCATATCCTGTGGTGCATTGATTGAAATGTAAACGCTAAGCTGTTTTTTATTTATTTATTTTTCCTTTTTTGATTTTAAAAAATCTTATAAAATTTATGAGGTAATTAGATGCAATATATTGTAATGCACGCTGAAAATTCCATACCTGTACCACAAATACTGTTTGGAATAAAGCTGTTATATTATATATATATATATATATATATGTTACAAAAAGCCCACAAGGACTGGACAATTCATCAACTTTCAAAGCTTTGTGTCCCTAAGCAGAAAGAGGAACCTGATATACGCTCTTTCCTCGAGGATTCGGAAGACACGCAGCGAGGAGGTGATTGATGAAGAACTGAGTAATCTCCGAAGTCCCTTGATAGAAAACAGTTTTCCACCTAGGTTCATAGGCAAGAACCTCAAATCAAAGAAAACTTCCGAACAAGTTCACCCCGTCCCGAAGAAGATAATTCTGCTTAATCTAGAATTCAAATGTGACATTGAAGCAGAAATCCTTCGTAAACGCCTCTGCAAATCTCTGAGGAAGACATACTTCGCCGCGAGCCTACGACTAACGTTTTCCTGCAAGAAACTGTTCAACCAGAACGTGAAAGACAAGCTGTCGCACTGGAACACTTCAACATGCATATACCAGTTTACTTGCTCTTGTGGAGCCGAGTACATCGGCCGTACCATGTACCAACTTGAAAAACGCGCTCATGAACACTATCCAGCCCGGCTAGTAAAAGGAGAACGAAAACGTATATAAAGTTCAGTGACAGAACATCTGGTCAATTCAGGACATTCAGTACCACTCAAAAAATCCTTCAAAATAATATACAAGATTCGATCAAACCTACCAAAGTGAGTAAAATTAAGACATCTGGGCATAACCGAGACACTAGCCATCCAAAAGCTCAAACCCACGCTATGTATCCAAAAGAAATACGTTCAACCCTTGTCCCGTGGCCATCATAAACAGGTAATTCTTCTAATAGTGACTATCCCATTGCATTTCTTATCCAAACTTCCTGTTTATTCATGTTATCTTTAAGTTTTTCTTAATCCCTATTTACACTTGCATATTTTCATATCTAAACTTCCTGTCTATTTTGTTATTTTATTATTATTTCTGTGCGTCGGTGGCACAGCGGTTAGGACGTTCGCCTACCATGCATATGGTCCGGGGTTCGATCCCCGGCCACGGACGCACTCCTTCACCTTGCTAAGCCAGAAATAATGTTGGTAAAGAGGAAAGGTTGCGTATGAGGCTAGCAACCCCATCCTGTAAAAATAAACATTGCTACAGAAACTTCAAGCCACTAGTTTGAAGCCCTATGCTCCACTGGGGACGTGAAGGAAAAATTATTAATTATTATTTTATCATTATTTCTAGATATTTAATCTCTGCATAAACAATTATTCGTCACATTAGTTATGATCCCACTAAATTTTTTTTATCCAAACATCCTGTCTGTTGTTGTTATTTCTACACTTTTAACCCCTAATTACACAGTCTGTCAATCTTCTCAGTAATTATGATGCTACTTTGTCTGAACTTTATTCGTCCCCCTGTTTATTATGGCATTTTAATTCCTGATTGTAATTCTATCAATCTAACCCTTGACCAGAAATGATTCTGGAACTCTCCTACCCATTTGTTATAAATACACAAATGTACAGCCTAGATGATTATTTCGTCGAAACGAAAATTTTCTTCGCTGCAAATGTCTTTTTATTCCCTATGATCAAATGTGTATATTCCAGAATTTTTCAACCAGTAAATGGCTGGAATACATTTTTTGTAGATATAAACCTAATGACAAGTTAAGAAAACACTTTTGTATAAACAAATGATGCCATATACTACTGATTGATTGGTATGAATAGTTGGCTGCCACTTGCACTAACCGGTAGGGCTTGTCACCTAGTTGGAAATGGTTTAAACAGCGAACAGTCATTTTGCTGTTTTTGGGACTAAACTCTTCAGTAGTGTATCCAGTAAGACTCAGCTCAGAGAGCCCAGTCAGTTGAAAGCACCTGAATTCTGACTAGCTAATTGGTCATATTGATAATACACAAAATTATATTTGCTTTTATAGAATCCCATTGTTTCAGATGTTATTTTTTAGTTAACTTTAAGTATTTTCGTTCAGTTAATACTGTACTGATTATAATGATAGGTAAATATAAATTAACATAAATTAAATTTGATGTATATATATATATATATATATATATATATATATATATATATATATATATATATTTAACAAATATGGTACATGGACATAATTTAATGTTTCAAGTGTTCATTGACATTATTATTATGATTATAACAGTTTCTAATCAGAATGTAATAAATTAACTCGCATTTCATTTCATATAATGGAATAAAATTGTGTGTTGATTACTTCTTGATATTTTGTCAACAAAATTTATCCTTATAAGTATAATTCTTTAAAGAATTGAAAGTAAGAGAGAAGAGAGTATGGGGGGGGAGGGGAGGGGAGAAAAAAAGAAGAAAAGTCAGGGAAAATAGGAAAGGTAATAGCTACTAAGATGAACAACATTAAACACAACACTAGAATTAGTTTCTGTCACCTGGCCTTTTTGTGGATTTCATTTTCACCTTTCAATGCTGATTTACGAGTAAGCCGCATTTTTTTGTTTTGTTTTTGTTGAGGAAAAGGGGGCGATGTAATTGTTCAGAAATAATTGTTTTATAATCATATCAGAAGGTAGGGAAAGAGAGAGAGAGATAGGAAACAATAAGTATTAACAACACTGAATTATCTATCTACTGTTATGGATA